TTTTTGCCTTGATATGATCTTATAAATCATGTGATCCAAATTTTATCGCACTACTAATTCTTGAGTTGGTGAAATAGTGTGGCAAATTTTGGACTACAAGGTTTACATAGAATGCTTAAATTAATTTATTAATAGGTGACAGCCATGACTATGAATAATCAGTCAATTTTCTCATATTTTTTCAAGGCACTATAACAAAAATGACCTTTAACGGCATTTAAAGGTATCAATATAAATAATTTAACCTAACACTTTACCTTTCCTCACACCTCAGACGAGTGTTGTCCCTTTCAATGTGGGGATACGGTCGTAGTATTTAAATGTGTCAGGAAAACTATACTATTATAGCATCCCATCTGCCAACAAAAATTCCTTTTGTTGATAATTGAAAATGTCAAGATAGCTATAGTACAACATTAGGATATCGAATTCTATGTTGACACTTTTAATTGCCAGGAGTTTTTTTTTTTTTTTTGATATAGAAGCAACCTGCAGGTAGTGCTCCCTGTCGCGCCCCATTTTTTGATAAATAAAAATAATAAATGGTTTAAAAAAATGTATTTTTGTGATTGGAAAATGAATCGTGATTTAAAAGAAAAATGGGTCTAAATGGGACTTTTGAAAATGCGACGATTTGACCCAAGAAAAATAGTTCAAAAAGGGTTTTTTATATGAAAATGGAGTCGCCACTTGGTATAGAGTTAGGGTGTACCAAGTCACCCAAAAAGTGAATTTTTTTAAAAAAAAAGTAAGAAACCCTTTTGAACGACTCCTAGTCCACGCAAACAAAGAAAAAGATTCGGGAGTCACATTTGACGAAGGGGAAGGCAAGGATAAAATCCAAAGCACCCTTCGACCTAGCCAAGGCTAGTTGCGTTGATTTAATCAAAGATTTTCTTGTTTTAACCAAAGAATTTATTACATTTGGATGCACTACATGAATGCAAATCCTAGACCTAGGGGTATTGGGGGAAATTTCCCTTCAAAAGTTGAGTGGTGCCAATCACATTAATTGTGAAGCCCAATAACGATCCTTCGAAGAAGTCACGAATAATGCAAGTGGAATGCTAATGAATGGAATGCATGTATGCAATGTGAGGACATGAGTTTGAAAAAGTAATAAAAGGCAATAATATGTAAGTGAAAATGTGCACGTGAGTGGACAAGGTGCGGTGTGTGAAATGATAATATGAAGTACATGTGTGCAAGTGATGATAAAAGTGTTCGTGTGTAAGTGAAGGGATAAAGTGTGTACGTGTGCAAATGGGAGGAAAAAATGAAAGTGTAATGATAGAGTGGATGCATGAACCTAGGGAATTCATGCATAATGGGTACGGGAAGACCTAAATCGTGACTCAATTTGCCCTTTGATAGAGAGGATACAAGCGTGCTAAGGCTTAGAAAAAGCCACACTCGTCTATATCCCATATTTAAGGGGACTCTCAATCAAATGAACCCTATAGCTAGCATGAAATGCAAAAATCCTAAAATGAAGGGAAAGGGGGTTCGAGGAGCATGCCAAGTGATAAAACTAAGAAAAATGCATGATATGTGGTGAACAAGCAAATGATATGCTAATGAGGGGAACAAAGGAAAAATCCTATTGGGTCTAGCGTTGGACTAGCCCTTTCTATGAATTCCTAATGAAATAATGAGCCACAACTAGCGTTGGACTAGTGTGGTGGCGTACATTCATCCATTCCATTCATTCATGGTTATGAAAGCAAGTAGACATGCCAAAATGCTCGTAAACACGTAACACGTAGCACTTAGCATGCTCGACTAGATGCAAGAGCCTACTAAAGCAATTAAACATGTAGCAACAAAAACAAGCAACCAAGGGGAAGGGGAAATGGACCAGATGCTCTCGAGCCCTATCTATTACAAGCCAAGAGGTGTACACATACCCATGAAAGCACAAAGGGGAAGGAAAAAATGGACCAGATGCTCTCCGAGCCCTATCTATTACAAGCCAAGAGGTGTACACATACCCCATGAAACTTAAATAAAAGTAAAAAACAAGTAAATGCATGCAAGGAGGTAAGGAAAGCGGAGTAGGCAAGCATATTCACATAACACATAGGAGCACGTAGGGTCAAATGAAGTGCAAATGAAGGATAGAGTGTACCTCCCTTGAAGCGACGCCCTAACGTAGTGAAATTACTAACTTACCCTCCAAAATAATAAAAAGGTCAAGGTACCATTTAAATTATCAAATAATCACATGAAAAAAATTAAATATGAAAAATGAAAGTTAAGCACTAAATTGAGTCAACTAAAGTATTTTCATAGACAAACCAACCATGTACAAAGCAATTAATGCAAGAGGGACTTAATTAGAAGGATTGAAAATTTCTGAAAGAGAGTAAAATAAAATATCAAAATTGATGATTAAGATGAGACCCATAAAAAATCAAATGCAAAAATGCGATTAGAACTCAAATCCAAACTAAAAAAATCTATTAAAACTTATTGAACCTCAAAATGCATCCTAAAACTCACTAAACGTCTTACCCAAAATCATGTCAAAGCAAACCAAAAGCAATTAAGATTCTAGAATGACAAAAGTGATTAAATTATTCAACTAATTGGACCATAACAAGACAAGGGGGGAATTTAGGGGGTCAAAATGCAAGTGTTTTAGGACCTAATTGTAAGAACATGGAATGTAATTGAGCTATAATGCATTGCTGCAAAAATCACAGGGACCCAATTGATTAGTTTTCTCAATTTTCTGGGTCATAGTAGAATAAGAAGGGACTTGAGGGGTCATAATGAAATTTGTGAAAATTATCATGCATGCAAACGAAGGCTTCTCAGAAAACAGGTTCTGTTTCTGTATTTCTGATATGGCTTCATCCGAAAAAAAAAACCTCTGCAATTCCAAATGAGCTTGCGGCAGAACAAGATTCCCATGACATTTTGAGCTCAACTTTGCTAACACAACTCATTACTTATTAATGAATGAAACATACTAAAACAAACCATTTCCCATTACATATCATGCAAGTTCTTATGAGAAGCTACGTGAGAAACATGCTGCAGCCAAACTTCACAAAACATTGAAACTAACAGTCAAGCTATGCTACACAAGGTTCGGCAACTTTTCTATTTGGCCCAGATGCACTTGTACAAAGCAAACCAATGGATTCAACAACTCCACTTGAACACAACAAACTAGGAGGGGGAAGAGGAAGAAAATGGAAAGAAGTTTCAAACCAAAACCAGATAAAGGCAACTGATAGCTACTTATCTAAAAAAAATTCAAAACACGCATGCTTTTTGAAGGAAAACAGCCACCAGAAATTTCACTTAATGTTAACACACCTCAAAATCTTTCAACAATCTGTTGAAACAACCTCTATGACCACACCAGAAATGCAATGACGACAACTACTTAAAACAGCCGAACGAACAGAAAACCAAGAGGGAAAAAAAAATGCAGACAGCACAATGAAAGTTATCAGGCATGCATTACTACTGATTGCTGTTTTAGATTGCAGCATATGTGTGCATAATATATCAATCAAGCTACAAATGAACATCAAATTTCTGTCCCTCAGCCTAGGTCATGACCACGAATTTCCCAGCCAAAAACAGAAAAAAAAAAAAAAATCGAAACTTCCTTGAATAACAAGATCCAGCCATACAATAGAGAGTGTTAGATGGAATGCAACAGAAGACAGATATGATTGGACTCTTGGGTGAAAACAGATTTTGGAACCAAGTAATAAGAGCAGAGAAACCATCCAACATGCGAGGGAAACGCAAAAGCAACAACAACAGATTCAATCTCAAAAGTACTGGCAAACATTCAAACCAGATTCACCTGACCAACAATCAAATCCCATAAGAATCACATCCCCATCAAAAATCCTCACAACATCATGAAATTAGTGCCTCAAATCTCCCATTCCAGATAAAATTATCCATCGAAATGCCAAGCAATAAAAACCCAAAAGGCACAGATTTCATGTATGTACTTCGTTCAGGAATTAGAATGAATAAGAAATGGAGTTATGATTACCTGATGATGGATTCTTGGGCAGATTTGAGTTCAAAGAAAACGAACAGAGGTTTGTCTCTGAAGACCCTCCTGGTTTCGTCCTTTCTTTTTTACCCGTATCCTCCTTCCTCGGTTCTCCTTCTAGCTCTCCTGCCGACGAACACTCTCGTTGATTTCCTAGCCTTTTTCTTTCTCTTTTGCCGTTGCCTTGGAAAAACTCTATTCCGTCACTCTCTCTTAAGCCCTCTCCCCTTGCGGCTGCTGTCCTTTTAGCTTATATATGAGCATCTCCTCTACCTAAAACCCAGCTATCCTTCTGTATTTGCAGCCCAAGGAGCCGTCCCAAACTTTCCTTGCAAGCTGCTACAAATGCAGCTTGCCGCGGCTATCCCTTATTATTATTTTTTTTTATAAAGTAATTTAACAAAATGATAAATAAAAGTATAAATAATAATAATAACAAAGTTACACAAACCAGGTAATAATAATAATAACAAAACAAAATAATTTTAAACAAAAAACTAAACAAAAATGGCCATTTTTAATTTCCAATTTTCCATTTTTCATCATTTTCTTTTTCCCAAAATAAAAATAACTAAAGTGCCAAAGATTGAATTTAAAGAAATAAACATATTTTTGTGAACGAAATTCCCCTTTTTTCTTTTTCTCTTTTCTCCTTTTTTTGTGATTTTTCATTTTCATTTCTCTTTCAAGAAAGCATTGAATAAAACAAAATGACTAAAACATATTTTTGATGTTTTCCTTTTCTTTTTTTCTAAAAACTCTACGCTAATTCTAAACTTAAAAGCTAAAACTAAAAATTAAAACTAAAAGTAAACAACGAACGCAAGCAATCTAAAATGAAAATCATGAAATAGATGCCACATAAAATTATTCAAAATTTGGTGTCTACACTCCCTACTATACATTCCATCAATCAAAAACCCCAAGGACTTGTAAAATTATCCCAAAGAACAAAATGCATATAGTAATCTAAAGCAAAAGCCAATGCTCAAATATAATTTATTGAATTAAAAGTCAGTAACAAATAATAACATCGCAAATCCCTAACAAATACAAACTTGAAAAATTCTCTTGTGCACAAACTAAAAGATTCTCATCCCTAACAAGTAAAAAGAACTTGCATTAGCTTCCAAACTTTCCAATGAAATGAGAGCCTTCGGTCATAACCATGAATATCCCATCAATCTTCAGTTAGTTCTACCTGTGCACAAAGTTTGTTGGAATCATTAGATCATCATTGCTAGCAATAAAATTACAGAAAAGCCACAATATAAGTAAGTGAATATAATACCATTTAAACTGATGTCATTAAGCAACAGTCCTTAGGCTCATATACTTGGCCAACATAAGTGTTGTCCAGTGAAATCATCTAAGAATGCTAAAAGTCTAGGAAGCAATAAAATGAGCACCCATTCTTGGATAAGAAATGGCAGATTTTGAATAAATCGCATGCTTGCAAATCCATTTCAGAAGTGACAAAGTTGCAGGAATGAACGTTAAGAGGAAAACAACTCCTTAGTTTCAAAAGCATGACATCAACCAAGGCAGACAAAGAAAAAGTAACTTGGACGTTAGACATTTTGGATACTGCCAAAGAATGAGGAATACTGCATATTTATCAGAATAACTAAGTTCCATACATATGCTACATTTTACAAATATAACTGCTGCAATGGTCACTGGTCCACATTAGTCAAGGCAGATAACTGTACCATGCAAATGAGATCTCAAATGTTATAAAAGTTGCAGAAATTTATCTCAACTGGTGGCTTAAATGATACCATGGATGATTAACCACGAGCCAGAAAACATTACTTTAATCACAATAGTCAGTCATTGATTATGATACAAAGGCTTAATGCAGGTCGTCATTGATTGGGGGAAACTACGGCTTGCTCGATACCACAACTTTTGTACCTAATCCAGATTACTATAGGTAATGACCACTTATATAACCAATTAGAGTTAGTCAACATCATTTATCATTCTATTAGTTGGTTTAATTATTCTTTTATTGGCATCACTATGACTCTCTAGCTAAATTCTATTTTGCCTTCCTCGGTGCTCTTCTTTGGCACTAGTTGATAGGAAGAAACGTTTTAGCAACGAACTTCACAGGCACAAAGAAGATTCGTGCCTAGATATCTGCACACGAATAATGAAATAAAACTGAAATAAAGATAAGAGTCTGTCGACAAATGGGGGATGAAATATCTGCAAATCTTTTTTCTTTTTTTTTTTTTTGGGCAAAAGCCGCAAGACTTTACTGTTACTTCTTTCAAGCACTACCATATATCACAATTAAGAACTGGTTGTTACTCTTTTTTTTCCTCTTAAGCAGGAATTAGAAGAAATCTGTAAGGACAACAGTGCTCAATTCTAGTAGCAGTTAACAAAGATGCTTCAATTAAATCAAGTGAATTAATTCAAATTGAATAAACTAGGCTTCTCTCTTTCACTGGCCTGTCAACATGTATCCTTTTAATACTCTTTCACACGAAATATCTGGTCACATGAAATTTATCTGTAGTCACTTTTCTAAGATTCACCAGTTTCTCGGTTGTCTACTTGACATTTTATCGAATAGGTTATGCGCAACAAATCCATAACAAAATAGTCACACAAATCAAGTAGACAACCGAGAGGAGTAAAGCCAAACAACAAATGCACTCAAATCATGAACTATTACTCATGGATATTGTCAACTTAGATTTCTTTGCAGCTTAGATTCCTCAATTGACCTAAATAGGCTAGTCTTGCAACTACAACATTTTTCAACAAAAAAACAGGCAGAAGTAAAATGGAAATGCAATGAATTTCTTTGCAACATTTTACATGGTCAACTCCTCAAACATGACTTATACGCCAAAAGAAGGATTTAAACTCTAGAACATCAGTTAGGGGAGAGCAAACATTCCTTATGGAATCTGGGAATTCCAATTAAGCGATATATTTACCAGAGATGAGGATTTTAATCGATTTGTCTGCCAGCCGCTGCAGCAACAAAAGGCAAGTGGGGAGTCTTCCTGAGCACACTACAACCCAGCCCATAAGCAAAGCAGGCTACCAAAAACACAAACAAGCATTATACCACCAAATGGTAAGCTTGAGCCCGAGGCTAGTTTGGCCCGGAGACAAAATCCTCTGAATCAACATGGCACCACCAGAAGAACATCAAGAACTAGGGCTCTCTTTGCACTTGGAAACTCAGAGAAAGCAGAAACTTGTCGAGCAACAGATGGATTGTACTTGATGTAGTACTTTTTAGTAACGGTTTGAGCCTTTGGCTTAACAGAGGGAAAATGACATGGGGTCCAAAGTATATTTGGATGGGGCAGGTTATGTGTGGAATCCTCCTGCTATTGCCCTTCCTCTTTTTTGGCTTCTTTCTCTGCCAGTGTTTCTTGTGAGAGAGATAAGAAGAAGCAAAATCTGACCAAGTGTTTTGGCCGGCAAAAGTTTTGAGCAAATGAATCTTCCACCAATTCACTATGATGTCGTTTTGTGCCTTTCTTTCTTTTTTGGTATATTTCACATTTTCTCAAATGTCATAATAGGTAGTCTAAAGGCACATTATTATTCTTATATCAGATAAAATAAAAAAATTAAAGCATATGTTATTGAGTTGATAATAATTGTCATAATAGAAGTATTATAATGACACACACCAACAAGTGTCCTTATAGGCATGTCAAGAAAAGCAATTTTTGTTGTAGTGATGTCGGACGTGAACATCATATCAGCAAATCGTAAGACTTCTCATTCTCGTAAACATTTTGATAAATCTGGTTAATATGGATCCTGGGATCAAATTTTGCCAAATCATCTTATCAACTCAAGAATTGATAGTGTGGCAAAATTTGGACCACACAATTTATATATTTCGGATCTACTCAAGTTTTTTTTCTCAAGGAAATTGTCTTGTTATGAAGAACTGATACAGAATTTCTCAAAATCACTCTCTTCCTAGTATAGCTACAAGCTTAACTAAACAGTGGTTATTGCGATCAGTGTCTGGTAATATAGGCCCCAACTTCTTTTTCAATAAGGACTCGTGAAAAACAATATGCATCTTTGCTCCAGCTAGCAATTGCAACCTATAGGCTACAAAGCTGATCTTCTGAATAACTTGGAAAGGTCCATAGAACTTAAATGCCAACTTGGGATTCCTTTTTAACAACAATAGATTGTTGCCTGTAGGGTTGTAACTTGAGGAACACCCAGTCTCCAACATTAAATTGTCCCTAAATTCTGTGTTTATCAGTAAAAACCATCGTCTTATTTTGTGCTGTACTCAAATGTTCCTTATGGTGCGCAGCATCTGCTCTCTATTCGCAACATAGTATTTATACAGGAATAATGGTATCACAGTAATGTCCAGGTGTTAAAGACGGTGGCATGTACACATATAATGCTTCAAAAGGAGAAAGTTTCAAGCCAGTATGGAATAATGCATTATACCACGATTTAGCCCATGGTTCAAAGTAGTGGTCGCGGTTGCGGTCGCGACTTGGACCGTTCCACATCGGTCTCGGCATATCGGTCGCGGTCTTGGCGAGACGCGAATTTATGAAATATTTAATATTCTAAAAATCGTAAAAAATATGATAAACAAAAATAATTAAAAAAATTAGTAAAAATAATAAAAATTCAAGTTGATTCGGGATGACTCGGTGTGATTCGGCCGTTTCAACCTTTCACGGTGACGTCTCGGCCTGTCACGTATCTCGGAAACGTTTCATCAGGGTCTCGTCTCAGACTAGGCCGAGACGGAGACGACTCGGCCGAGTTTTCGAACCATGTTCAGCCACTCTTAACCACTTACTCCATTATGTTGACAGTTTACTGGAAGGTCTCAAGGCATTGGTTTAACCCCTCAATCTGTCCATCTGTTTGTGAATGGTGGGCAGAACTATAGGTGCAATTCGGTTCCCATAAACCAATACATTTCTTCCCATTAATCTATACAATTCGGTTCCCATGAGTAAAGACTTTTTTCCAGGCAGTGACCCTTGACTCTGGCAACCCATGTTGATGTGCGACGGATCTAGGCGAACATCAAGTTGAATTAATTCGCGGAACTTTGACCCTTCTAGAATTACAAGTCATGAACTAAGGATGCTCCTTAACCCAAGACTAGCAAATTTAGTGAACCAAAAGTATAGATAGAAGAACGCCACAATCAAGGAGACTACTTGATTGATAAGTTCGATGAACAACTTGAGATTAATTCTCAAGTATTCAAAGGAAATTCTCTTGAGGCAAGAGAGAGTGAATAAACTCACGAATATTTTATAAAAATCCGAATTGTCCCTTATGAATGAATACCTAGGCTATATATATAACCTTACAAGACTCAAAACCCTAGAATGTCCACTGGACGATCTTGCCCTTCATTAAGGGTGGATTTGTCCAAGTTTTATTAACTTAATATCTAGCAACTAATTAACTAATTTAAGACTCTGGATTCGGTCAAAGTGGAGTGTAATTGACCGAAATTATTTAGTGCTAACAAACAACTAATAATGGTAACTAAAACCCTAATTAACAAGCTAGTAATCCGCGAACTAGTCTTCACTTGATTCTTCCACCTGAAGGAAAGTGTATAGAGTAGTTTCTCCATTATGTAATCCTTCAATGGTCCTCAAGTCATCACCAACTCGTTCTTGAATCGTGCAAACAAGAGCTTGAAGTGATTCTTGAATCTTCTAGCACGCGCTCTTGTAATCGGACCACTTGGTATTTGCATGACTTGAGCGCTAGAAGTTCGAGCAGCCTTGAGCCCCTCCTCATTAGTCCCCTCCTCTTGAAGGCGATTTGTCCCCAAATCAAACTCATCGTCTGCATGAAAAGGACTCAAGTCAGATACGTTAAAAGTAGCATGTACTCCATACTCACCTGGAAGTTCAAGTTTGTAGGCATTGTCATTTATACGCTCCAGGACTTGGAATGGACCATCCCCCTGGGAAGTAGCTTACTACGCCTTTTGATTGGGAACCTCTCTTTGCGCATGTGTATCCATACCCAATCACCGGGCTCAAAGACCATCTTGCGGGCCCCTTGTTGGCACTTTGGATGTATTGAAGTGTACGCTTCTCGATGTTGGCGCGCACCTTAGTGTGTAACTGTACATATGCAGCTTTGTGCTTACCATCCAAGTTAACTCTCTCATGAACAGGTAAAGGAGTTAAATCCAAAGGTGTGAGAGGTTAAAGCCATACACAATTTCAAAAGGCGAATAATGTGTAGCAGAATGAACAGTGCGATTGTATGCAAATTCCACATGTGGTAAGCAATCTTCCCAAGATTTAATGTTCTTTTTATAATTGCGCGCAACAGGGTAGATAAAGTCCTATTAACCACTTCGGTTTGACCATCAGTTTGTGGGTGACTAGAAGTAGAAAATAGCAATTTAGTACCCAGTTTACACCACAAGTTTTCCAAAAGTAGCTAAGGAATTTGGCGTCCCTATCAGAAACAATAGTGCGTGGCATGCCATGTAATCTAACAATCTCACGAAAGAATAAATCTGCAACATGCTTAGCATCATCTGTTTTATGACAAGGAATAAAATGGGCCATTTTGGAGAAGCGGTCAACTACCACATAGATTGAGTCATGTCCTTTTCTAGTCCTAGTAGGCCAAGCACGAAATCCATTGACAGATCAACCCATGGTTCATGTGGAATTGGTAAAGGTGTATAGAACCATAAGGGTGTACCTTTGATTTTGCTTGGTGACAAGTCACACACCTTTCAATGTGCCGTTCTACGTCACTCCTCATGCGTGGCCAGAAGAAATGCTCTTGGAGAATCATTAAGGTCTTGGCAATGCCAAAGTGTCCCATTAGTCCTCCTCCATGAGCTTCTCTCACTAGAGTGTGCGCATGGAGCTCTTGGGAATGCAAAGCTTGTCCTTGTAGTATAAGAACCCCTGAGAGATGAAATAGTGCTCACGAGAGTGTCGTGGCAAGGAGACAAAAATCTCACCAAAATCTGAGTCAGTGGCATAAAGATCTTTAAGAAATTCAAAACCAAGCAACTTAGCATCTAATGTAGTGATAAGTGCATACCTTCGTGAGAGTGCATCAGCCACAACATTCGTCTTACCTGTCTTGTATTTGATCACAAAGGTAAAACTGTCAATGAAGGTAATCCATCTCGCATGTCGCTTACTCAACTTGTCTTGGGACTTGATATGCTTGAGCGACTCATGATCTGTGTGCAAGACAAACTCACGAGGGCGAAGGTAATGTTGCCATGTTTGTAGAGCTCGCACTAAGGCCATTAGTTCCTTATCATAGGTTGAGTAGTTTAGAGCAGCTCCATTCAACTTCTCGCTAAAGTAGGCAACGGGCGACCCTCTTGGAGTAAAACAGCTCCAATACCTATACCAGAGCATCACACTCTACTTCAAAAGCTTTGTCAAAATTAGGTAAACTAAGAACAGGTGCATGTGTGAGCTTGTGTTTAAGTAATTGGAAAGACTTAGCTTGTTCCTCTCCCCAATGAAATTGCACATCTTTCTTGACAATTGACGTAAGTGGGGCAGCAATTGTGCTAAAATCCTTGACAAAACGCCTATAGAAGCTTGCCAAGCCATGGAAACTTCTCACCTCACTTACATTGGTAGGGGTTGGCCATTCACTAATAGCCTTCACCTTTTCTTGATCAACATGAATTCCCTGCTCACTTACAACATAGCCTAGGAAAACCAATTGATTTGTGCCAAAGGTACACTTCTTAAGGTTAGCGTAGAGGCTCGCCTTGCGAAGTGCATCTAGGACCATTTGTAAATGCACAACATGCTCATCTAGACTCCTACTATAGATCAAAATGTCATCAAAGTAAACGACCACAAATTTACCAATGAAAGAACGTAAAACATGATTCATTAGTCTCATAAAAGTACTTGGTGCATTGGTTAGCCCAAAAGGCATGACCAACCACTCATAAAGACCATGTTTTGTTTTAAATGCAGTTTTCCATTCATCTCCTTCTTTCATGCGAATTTGATGGTAACCACTTTTCAAATCAATCTTAGTAAAAATGATAGCACCATGTAATTCATCAAGCATGTCATCCAAACGAGGTATGGGATGGCGGTACTTTACCGTTATGGCATTAATTGCCCTACAATCAGTGCACATTCTCCATCCTCCATCTTTCTTTGGAACAAGTAGAACTGGGACAGCACAGGGCTTAGACTCTCGTGAATCCAACCCTTACTAAGCAACTCCTCCACTTGTCGTTGTTGCTCCTTGGTTTCCTCAGGATTAGTCCTATATGGTGCCTTGTTTGGAAGGGAAGATCCAGGAATGAAATCAATTTGATGTTCAATTCCCCTTAATGGAGGCAAACCATTAGGTATATCCTCAGGAAAGACGTCTTGATACTCCTGTAAGAGGTTAGTAATAACACTAGGCAAAGAAGCATCAAGAGCATTAGTGAGTA